TTTTTTGTTCTTTCACGTGGTCTTGGCGCAGAACCATTTCTCGGCGGAAGTTCTCAACGAAGGCGTACATGAGATAGTACACGTGGGGCACGCTTATACGGACCCCCTCGAACCGCGTCCCTGCAGCTACAGATACGCGGGGTCTTTTGGCACAATTTCCCCGCCGGCATACGAAAAACCCAAACTTGCCACCCTTTCGCCTATTCATAGGTAACTTATGAAAGGGGCAAACCCTTGTATTTGGGATCAAGCCGTGCTCCTCCGCGAATTGAGTCCCCTGCTCATGGGTCCTCAACTCCAACACCAAACGCGCAAAATTCCATTCACCGCCTTTATTGTAATCCCTTGCGCTTGCGCTTGTGGAAGGACGTTCATCTAGAAACAAAAGAATTGCATTTATGGGCAATTTTTATATACGTTAATTACTTACCAGCCATTTTAATAAGAAAAATCGAAAAAATATGTGCAGCAATCGAAATGAAATAGTTCATATAAATTTCGCGTACAAAATGAAATTCACCGTTATACTTAGAAATACAACCATACCCAACACCCGAAAGGAGCCACAGGGACAGTAAATACATATTTTCCATGGAAAGGTTTATATTTTTAATGCTGACTGGGTTATATCATATTTTCTTTTGTCTCTCATCCTTCTTGTATATTTAGCAGTTTGACAGCTAAACGCCACCATTTAATGTGCATATGCAACCAAAGGCAAACGCGTGGTTTTGAAGATGTTTTTATTTAATAAATTGTGATTGATAGATTAAAATTAAAGTAATAAAGAAAGTTGTAACAAGTCGAATAAAGTTTAAAGTGAAGGGGAATATAAAAATGCATTAGTGAAGTGGCTGCTTTAAGGAAAATAGGAGTGATAAATGTGAGCTATTTTCCGAATTTTACAAAAAAGGGCATATTTCAAACCCAATTTGTAAATAAATTAGTGACCAAAAATTACAATAGTGGATGTTAAAGTAATGGGTAGACCCTTGGCTACAAGTGTGTGCAATTTTTTTTGGATCGGGTCACCCCTTTGGACGCAATACCCCGAAATAGGTGGGCCACTTACTAAACCGTACCCAAAAATATGTTTATGTTAATAATTTAATATTCTTCCAGAACAGAAATAAATTTTTTTTTGAATATGCACTTATTTCTTAAATAAATTCATTTCTAAAACATTCAAAAAAAAGCATTCATTGCGAAATATGCCGAAATATTCTCTAACAAATATGGCTAAAACGCTTTATCTTTGTATAAGTAGCATTTTCTTTTAATGCATTTTGTGATAACGTATAAGAAAAAAACATGCTCGAGCATATTTTTGGTTGCCCTATTAACTACATCTACATATGTATAAACAATGTGCTTAACCTATTCGGTACACGTTTGGTACAGAAAAAAATGAGTAAGTGGACACCGTGATTTCAAGCGTTTTCCAGTGCGGGAATTCCAATAGCCTTCCTCCTTTGTAAAGGGGCATAAGCATTGGTTAAAACATAGGTTTGGCTTCAACTGCTCGGAGAAATTCCTTTCAAGGCCATTTTAATAGCACGGGAAATTTGATATTGACCACTAGTGCAAAAAAAATTCATATATTGTGACGTCAGCGAAAGGGTGGATGTTGCAAAATCAACAAAGCGAGAATTAGCGGTCCGCGGAAGACGCCATCTTTGTTTCGCTACATCGTGCGTTTAGTGCAAGAAAAACCCCCATCGAATGCCTATTTCCTGCACTAGACCACTCTCTTGCATTCATCAAACAGACCTAAAGTTTTATAGGACTAGTGGTATGTATGTTGATCGGATGATTTATGTATGAATTGACCTTGAACTAATTTCTAAAGTAACCCGATTAACCCATTGAGAGTCGGTTTGAAAACCCCTCTCCGGAATCTTTAAACAATTTCGCCCCTAATTACTTTTACAATTGGTATTTTAACTTTATATGTCACTATATAATTTACCATAATTCAATAAAATTGGCGGTGTTATTTGTTTCGCTATCACTAAAACTATTTTTTAAAAGTGCTAATACAGCTCGTCTTTCTTAAAAAACTCGAGGAATATAAAAATAGAAATACATACATAGAAATACAATTTATTGGTCTTGAATAATTTTAAGTTTTTCTGACCATTCCAGATGATTTGTGAAATCAACATATGCATTTTTATTCTACTGCTGTCAAGTAGCTATTCTTCTAATGGTTTGACAAAAGTCTCCCACTCAGCATATCACATCCTTCACAACGATCATCCAGCGCGTCATGCATTCCGATTCCTCAAAGGAAATGCGCCTCGGTATCGAAGTTCACCGCCTCCCGCAACATTTCTTTCCAACGGAATACAAGGGTATGTATAAAATTAGTGATATGGAAGAACGGTTTATATCAAAGATCCGTATTCTGAAATATGGCGTCGTTATTTTCGTTATATAACCCATCACTTTTTTACTAATGAAGTATATAAGTTTTAAAATTAACTAAACCACAGGGTGGTTCAATAACAGGTTATGTACTTTAAAATTCATTGTCAAAAATGAATAATTTTTGATAAAAAATAAAATTTTTCTGTAACTAATTGAGCCAAATTACTAAAAATTGGGTAAACAAGTTGCATTTAAGCAAAAAATCGTATAAGTTCAAAGTTTTTGTAATGGTGCGTGGTGCACCTCACTTATGATAAAACTTGTATCTGAGTAACCGCTTTATCAATCTTTACCAAACTCGGTAGACCCATTAATATTACCAATAATAGATGCTAGTGTTTGACCGAGCTTTTCTTCTGATATGTGGTATGCGCCTTGATGTCACACAAAGGGGAGAAATCTACACTTTTACACAGACTCCGAACAGCGATTGTATTTTTATGAGAATCTGTTTTTCATTACATAAATCGGAGGTTTGCAATTGCCTGCCGAGGGGCGACCGCTATTAAGTAGAAAAAACTGTTATTATTGAGGTTAGTCGGAAGCTGGGAGGATGGTTCCGTGTGCAGAAGTGGTACGGTTCAAATCGCGCTCACAACGTACAAAGTACAAACAGCCACGGATGAGACCCCCTTTTTTTTGATGACGACCACGGCAAACGTATATGATTTGAGGGTATGCACCTGGAATATCCGGATCTTTAATGGCGAAGGTACCTCTGCCCGGCTGGTTGATGTCCTCGTAAGGATAAAAGGTGACATCACCGCCATTCAAGAAATGCGATGGACGGGGCAAGGAAAAGTAAGTGTGAAGCCTTGCGACGGAGAGAGACTCCGTAGCCGAGTCCCGACGAAAGAGAAGGACGAGGTGTCCAAGGATCTCTTCTATGAGCGCCTAGAGCGTGCATATGAGCGCTGCCCGCGACACGATGTTAAAATCGTGCTCGGCGATTTTATTGCCAAGGTGGGCAAGGAAGGGATCTTTGGCGTCCGATGACGGACTGAGGCTGATCGACTTCGCCGGGGCCCGAAACATGGTAATATGTAGTACTAGGTTCATGCATAAAAACATCCACCAAGTTACATGGCTGTCTCCAGATCGAAAAACGATAAACGAAATCGACCACGTTGTGATAGACGGAATGCATGCTTCCAGCGTATTAGACGTTCGTACACTCCGAGGGCTAAACATCGACTCGGACCACTATCTTGCTGTAGCCAAGATACGCACCCGCCTCTGTGCAGCAAAAAATGTGCGCCCATTAATGCAAAGATAGCTTACCGTCGAAAAGCTGCAATCACAACAGACGGCCAATTTATTCGCCACTCGACTCACACACCTGTTATCTGAGAGCACTCTTCAACAATCCGACATAAGCGAGCAGTGGAACCGCAGAGAAAAAAAGACCCCGCCTATACGGCCACGCTGCGATTGGGCGCAATGCGAGCCACGCGGAACAGTTATAGGGAACTGAAGAAGGAATCGAGACGTCTTTGCCGCAAGAAGAAGAGAGAGGCCGAGATACGTGAGTGCGAAGAGCTTGAAATGCTAGCCGAGAGGAAGAACGCGCGAAAATTTTACCAGAGGGTTAGGCGACTTACGGAAGGTTTCAAGACCAAGGCGAACTCCTGTAAGAACAACAAAGGGCGGCCTAGTGACCGATATCCAGAATGTACATAAAATTATGGAGGGAACACTTTTCCACCATACTGAATGGTAGCAGCGCTGAAATTACTGGAGAAGACGAACCCGAGCCCCAAGTCGATGACCTTGGAGTCGATGTTCCACCACCTGACTATGACGAGGTACGACTAGCGATAGCGCGCTTGAAAAACAACAAAGCTGCTGGAGCTGACAGCCTAGTAGCGGAGCTATTAAAATATGGTGGCGAGGAGTTGATAAGGTGCATGCATCAACTCTTGTGCAGAATATGGTCAGATGAACGCCTGCCCGACAATTGGAATTTAAGTGTGTTCAGCCCAATCCACAAGAAGGACGATCCCGCCATTCGCGCCAACTACCGCGGAATCAGCATTCTAAGCATAGGTTGTATTATGCGAAGGATGAAGCCCACCGTCAACGAACTGATAGGACCTTATCAGTGTGGCTTTAGGCGTGAAAAATCCACCATAGATCAGGTACTCACAATACGCCAAATCTTGGAAAAAACACGCGAGAATTATATCGACATACACCATCCATTTGTCGATTTCAAAGCCGCTTTCGACAGCACGAAGAGAAGTTGTCTTTATGCCACGATGTCTGAATTTTGTACCCCGCGAAACTAATACGGCTGTGTAAACTGACGTTGAGCAATACCACCAGCTCTGTCAGAATAGGGAAGGACCTCTCCGAGCCGTTTGATATCAAACGAGGTTTCAGACAAGGGGACTCCCTCTCGTTGGATTTTTTAATCTGATGTTGGAGAAGATAATAAGAGCCGCAGAACTGAACCACTCAGGCACAATACTTTACAAGAGCATACAATTGCTGGCGTATGCCGACGACATCGAGATTATCGGTAAAAACAAGGGCTACGTCTGTTATGCCTTCTCGGGATTAGATAGAGAAGCAAAACGAATGGGTCTGTTTGTGAATGAGGACAAAACGAAGTATCTACTGTCATCACCTAAACAGCCAGATCATACGCGTCTTGGCACCCACGTCACTGTTGACAGTTACAAGTTTGAAAAAGTAGACGACTTCGTTTATTTGGGAATCAGCATTAACACCAATAATAATGTCAGCCTTGAAATCCAACGGAGAATCACTCTTGGCAACAAGTGCTACTTTGGACTGAGTAGGCAATTGAGAAATAAAGTCCTCTCTCGTCGTACAAAGATCACACTCTATAAGTCACTCATCATGCATGTGCTGGTATATGGCGCGGAGGCATGGACAATGAAAACATCTGAAGAAAGCGGCGCTTGGAGTTTTCGAGAGAAAGATTCTGCGAAAGATTTACGGACCTTTACGCGTTGGCGATGGGGAATACCACAGACGATTTAACGATGAGCTGTATAAGTTTTACAACGATATAGACATAGTGCAGCGAATTAAAATTCAGCGGCTCTGCCGGCTTTGCCATGTCCTTCCAATGGACAGAAATGCTCCGGCTCTGAAAGTATTCAACGCGGGCCGCGATGCTGGTAACAGAGGAAGAGGAAGGCCTCCTCTACGTTGGAAAGACCAGATGGAGAAGGACTTGGCTTCACTTTGCATTTCCAATTGGCGTCCGTTAGCATAGAAGAGAAATGACTAGCGTGCTGTTTTGGACCTGGCCAAAATCGCTTAGGCGGTTATAGCGCCAATAAAGAAGAAGAAGTCGGGAGCTGGGCTCGGCGCAAGGTCCAGCAGAATGGTAGCGCGCATTTCTGAACAGTACACCACAGCGACCGGTAGACGCGCGGTTTTTGGTAACAATTTAAAATTCATCCTAAATGAAAATATCTACGCTATAAAATAAGTATAAAATAAATTTGTAGTAGTAGTAGCATTCATTTATTCATATAGAAGATATAAAAAATAACATTTGAAAGAAAGAATAGAAATAAGAATTTCAGAATAAAAGATACACACAAGATTTTACATTTTATATTTATTTATTTATTTTTTACAGTCTGCTATACTTATATTACAACAAAGATTTAACATTCTTAGAATTAGATTTTGATTTAAAATTTAAATATTAAATATGATATGCTCTACGGAAATTTTTAAATAACATTATTTCTTTATCACTGTAATTTTTTTATATCAACACAAAAGCATGCTATTGTCCGGAGATTATGTAGACGGTTGGAACGGCCGAGTTTCCAATCCGCGCTATACTTTTTGGGTTATTCCGTATCTTGACATCTCCTGGGTGGTCGAAAAGGCTGAGTTTCCGATCTGCCCAGTCGCGCTTTCGTGACGGTTGGAAAGGCCTAGTTACTAATCTGCTCATTTATTGTTTATTATCCAAGGTTTTTAATGTACCCTAGGTAGTCGGGAATGCCGAGTGTCCGACCCACCTAGTCTCGATATCTTGGTGGTTGGAAAGGCCTAGTTTCTAATCCACGCTATTGTTCATATATCACTATCTTATAGGCTGCGTTCTACAATAGTCATATAGCAGCCGCATGAAAAGAGTGATAACATCACAATTTTTCTTCTGGTAATTCAATAAAGCACTTTAAGCCTTAATAAAAATTACTATTTTTTGTCCACTTCCGTTCTATGCTTCGGGTGTCTGAAGCTGTTATTCTCTCTTAACAAATATGTATGGGTCTCATTTATATATCGGAGATTATCGCTAAGATAATCCGGCAGGTTGCTTTTCTTAATATTGTACACAAATTTAATAGCGTGGTAAAAAACTTGTTGCTTCACGCTTAACCAATTCAAGGTTTCAAACATACATCTTGTTGGTGTGTCGTACGGTTTGTTGAGGATGAATCTCGTCGTTCGGTTTTGCATTTTTCGCAGCTTATCTACATGCGAGTCCCTCGCTAGGAGGAAAATCGCAGGGCAGTATATCACAGCGCACTGCCGTGCAAAAGAAGGCACGGTAGCATGCTGAAATGATTCACTTAACTAAGCGTACACGGTACAAAAAAAAAGCGAGACTTACTGCCGTCCGAAAATTGGCGCGTCAAGCGCCAAACAATTGTCAAAAATCCTCATGCCCGTACAATTTGTATGGAGCATCCCACAATAACGCGGCGTTAACGCCGAGCAAATGGAATTTTCAATTTTGACAGCGCGTTGCGTCTTTAAGTAAGGGTGCTGAAGGCAGGGGTAAGAAAGAAAGAGGACAAAAATGACAAAGATGAAAAGGCAAATACAAAAAAAATTTGAAAACAAATTAAAAGTGACATATGATATTTTGCGCGGCAGTAATAAACAAGATGGATGTAAGTATTTTAATATTTTATTTTTCTATCAATAATATTTGGAATTTTGCAGAATTTAACCGAAAAACTAATAGAAATGGTTCGAAAACATCCGTGCTTGTTTGATAAACGGGAAACGAAATACAAGGACTTCAAATACAAGGAGAAGTTGTGGGAGACTATAAGCCAGGAGCTAAATTTCCCAGGTAGCTTAACTTTTAGATATGTAGTAGTAGCATTAACATTAACTTTAGTTTTTATATTAACTTTAAACATGTACGTTTTAGTAAAAAGAGGTCAAAATAAAATGGAAAAGTCTGCGGGATAGGTACCGACGGGGAAAAAATGTTGAAGATCGTCCATCTGGCTCTGCCCAAAAGTTGGGTCCACTTTGGAAATACTGGGAAAGCCTTGAGTTTCTAGCGGACTCAATGGAACCGGCTAGGTAAATAGAAAGAATATTGCTTGAATGACATCGTTATATTAAAAAAGAAAAGATACGTTTTGGATAATCGTGGTGAAAATACCATGTTCTTCGTTAACATATCGGAATAATAATGGGCGGTATTTAATGCGTGTTTAATTTTTTATTATATGTACATATATAGGTATATTTTATATAACCGCTAACATTCGTATACATGTGTACATATATGTATCTATTTACTCGTTTTTTCGTAATACATTTCCAGCACAACCTCGAATGTCGTTGAAGAGGACGAAGCTACTGTGGAGTGGTTACATGGCGAGAACTCCAATCCTTCGCCGCAAACACCCACACTAAAACGCAAAAATGACCTTATGACGGAAATTTTAACGGAGATGAAAAGCAAGTATGGGGAGGAGTCAAGGCTGGCCAAAAAAAGACAAATTCAGAAATTTCTTTGCCTTGCTAGGCGAGAGGCTAGATCGACTCCCTGAGCATGAGGTTGACGAATAGGGTGGCCAGATATTATAGTGACATAATCAGTACAGTTGGGATCAAAAATCAGTACAAAGCCATAAAAATCAGCTAATTTTTAAGCGCATATTTTATTATTAGCCATATAACAACCAAATAACAGCGCATTAAGTTAACAAAAAATAACTAATAGACCTTTATATGCATATAGTATTATCAATATAAAACTTCCTTACTTTAAAATAAGTCAAAGGTATTACGTATGTATGAACAGCTGTGCTCACGAAAATAGTAGTAAAATGTAGACAGGTTTTGAAAATTTTTTATTTCCTTACTTAATTTAATTTTTTAAAAAAATATAGTTAATTCTATAACAAAAGACATGTGCGTTGAAGTCTCAAACTTTCTAGAAAATTTATAAAAATTGAGAAAAAAAATAAAAAATTTGTAGCTCATTCAGTTTCAGTAGAAGCCGAGCTCGAGTCAGAATCCGTTTGCATATTTTAAGCTACAAAATTAAAACTGATTTAGTTGGTTTGCTTGTTAAATACAACATTCACATTAAAATGTTGACTAAAAGGTATATTACCGAATTATCGGTAAACGATTTTTCGAGTACGAATGAAGTTTAGTGTTAAATGTGTATGTGCAAGTAAAATTACAGGTGGGAGAACGTCAGAAATCAAAGTAAAGCTACATATATCATATTCAAGAGTCGGTAGTTGCACCTTTTCCAAATATTTAGAACTTACATTGCACCGTAGCAGTAGTCGTCTTAAGTTTGAAATACTGACAGCCGATTTCTCATTGGATGTTTAATTATAATCAAAAGATTATCTCTTGTTCTAACATAATATATGATTAACTCACCACCACCTTTCATAAGATTTATTAATGGCGAAACCAGCTTTACCTGTAAATCCTGTAAAACCTGCAAATCGTGAAGTTGGGTTGGTTTGAATCCAAACAGTTTGTTATTTTGCGAAATCCTCACACGTATGAGTTGTCAAAAACCATTGTTTTGAACTTGTAAACCTCAAGTAAATGTCAATTACACCAGTTTACGAAAGTATTTATGAAATGTAAAAATCAGTACAAAATCAGTACAAACTCAAAAAATCAATAGAGAGCGTACAATAGGAAAAAATCAGCACATGTACTGATTAAATCAGCGCATCTGGCCACCCTATTCACTAAGTTCAGGTGGAGATTTTGCAATTGGTTAACCGTAAATTAAATAAACACTGTCCTGTAGTTAATTTTTTTACAATATTTGCGAAGGCTTTTTATGCCAAATCCTTTTCGTAAACTTTGTTTTAAAAATGTAGTCCAATGTATGTATGTATGTACAGCAGTGTTCACAATAATAGCACCAATAATGTTTTGAACCTATTCTTATTAATTTGTTTTTAGTAACTTTCATTTAAAACACAGTTCGATCTATAACAGAAACCACACAAATGCAAGTTTCAAACTTGCACATTTTTGGGAACATTGTGAACACTGCTGTACACACATACATACGTTGGACTACATTTTTAAACAAAGTGTATGAAAAGGATTTGGTATAAAAAACCTTTGTAAAAAAATAATGTGCTATGCACGGTATGTAGCTATGTATATGTAAATGTTATTTGTAAAACAAAATAACAGGGTAATAAAATTACCATCCGAGGAAAACGATCGTTAAATTATTAAAATAAAGAAATGTTTGGCTACCTACGGTAAGAATTTGATCGGAAATAAAAAAGTATTTATAAATAAAAAAATAAAGATATAAATTAATAATTCATATATCTCAGTCTTTATTATAATGTCATTACTGTGACAATGTTTAAAGAACCTTACAGCGCGGCTACCCACGAACGTGTACGTAGCGTAGCGTAGTAGTACGTAGAAAGATATCAAGTATGCTGCTGATAGAAAGAGAGAGAAGCAACGTCTACGTCACGGTCATGCGGTGGTGAGTTTTTGTTAACACGCAGATCCCATAACATAGATCGTGTCAGCTGACACGTTCTCCGTTTTTACGTCCGTGGGTAACTGCGCTTTTGGCCGACAAAGGTCATCTCATTTAGTACATACCGCACACCTCACTTTTGTATTAGGTGCGGTGAATCTGTACGATCCATAAGCAGTTATATTTTCGGATGTGATATTTGAGTTGTGCCTCTCTTGAAGATGGTGTGCGATATGTAGATTACTATAGGCCATATATGTAATACTTCTATATTGGCAGTAAGCTATTTTCTCAATGTGCAAGCATTCCGAAATCAAAGCGAGACAGTTAGTACCGTTTTTGTCAATGTATTGTGTACTTGAGTGCCGCTTTTGTATATGTGTTGTGTACATGGTTATTTATAATCCCTGCAGGGAAACTGCGGATTAGTGAATCAAATTTCTAGTTCCGAACTAGGTCTTTATCGCTAAAAATGAACTAGATTCCCACCAGTCCAAAGTCGGCGAAAAGTGGTACTTTTAAAAAACTAATTTTTTCAGTTTTTTCACTAGAAATCTATATCTAAAGTGACGAATTTAGAAATGGTTCGGAACTATAGAAAAAGGGATGCAGAACGAACTAGATCTTATTTGTCGAATTTAGAACTAGTTCGTAACTATCGAATAAGGGATGCAGCGGGGGGCTTGTTTACTTTACTTAGATATGTGTTCGGCGGCTTTTTCGTTCAAATACGCTTCTATTATGTGCTTCGCAGATGCTTTTGCATAGCTTGGTAATACAAAACTAAAATTTGTGTTAACATTTCAACATCTTGGGACCGTCTGAAATCTAAGAAATAGCACCGAGCACCTCTGCAAACTCAGCTACAGCTAAAGGTATGTAGATAAACGTACATTTCTTACAATCATTCAAACAAATTTGATTTCAAATTGAAAACACATTTCTTCCAAAATAACTTAAAATCGCACACACGGAAGAACCAAAAAGATTGAAAAATCATGATACTTTTTTCTTTCGTCTGTCGATTTTAGAACTGGTTCGGAACTATAGAATTTAGGACTAGTTCGGAACTATCGAAAAAGGGATGCAGCGGGGGGCAATTGACACTTCCTAGAATATCGCCATGTTAAATTCGCCAGTTGCTTGCATGCAAAAGAGATTTATCGCGAACCAGTACTGGGTCTAAATGAACTAGAAGCGCACCAGTGCAGAACTAGAGACTTTCCCCACAGGGAACGTATGTGTTCCTTTTCTTTCGTACGTGTTTATTGATATATCTGTACTGTAGTGTTTTCGGACGGTACTAGCTCTTACTGCCAATATAGGAGTATTACATATATGCTATAGGCACTAACTAATATTTCAGAATCTAGTTTCATATGTCAGTAAATAACTTACTTAAAAACTAATATAATTTAAAAACAGCTATAGCATTAAGTTAGTTACAGTCTATAATAAAAATCGTTTTAAAGAAGTCCGTAAGAAAGAAACTTAAGACTTTAATAACAGGCCTGCGAAATTTAACTTATATTTTTATTTATATTTTATCGCAGAAGTTCTTGAAAACTTTTTTAAGAAACACATTAGAGAGGTCATCTGTCAAAAAAACTATAAATAACTTCAGAGTCGACTTTATTTCGACTGTGAATATACCATAAAGGACTGTGTGTAACAGTTGTGTTTACTTACAAAGCGGTTTAATAAATTTGTAAAAACTCTAGGTAACGCAAGAACAAAGTCTGTTTTTATTAGAAGAAAATGCGCAATAGCCTTGACAAAAACGGCTACTTGAAATTTCACAAACTGCATAATCGAAAATTTTCCAAAAATCCTGAATAAAATTTTCAAGACAATTTTTTAAAGTTTCAATAATTTGTGTGAATTTTATACATAGTTTGCAAAAAAAGTTAGTTTTTGTTATGGAATGAGCTATGTTTTTAATAAAAATGAATAAAAAAGATTTATAATGGAAAAATTTTGATTATTAAAAAACTAAATTTTGAATATTTCTTAAATATTAACATATTATTATGCACGTAGATTTATATACATATATTTAGCTGTGTACATTTGAATAATTTCTTGCTTAATTTTTAAATTATGGCAACATTTGTGTTTCCTTTTCATTCAGTTCAGTTAATAATATAATATCTTAACATTGTTCAATTTGTACATAGTAGGTGGCGAAAACGATTCCTATAATTACTTCTGCAAGGATTAGTTTATTGGGATATCATCAACCCTTAATTTGGAGGTTCAAATAACGAGTAAGTTGCTGAAAACCAGAAAATTCTAGAAATCGATGCCCTTTCACTTTTCTATTTGCTATATCTGAAAGGAAAATCATGATACCAATACATTTTTTTTTTCGAAATAAAGTCAATTGATATTATAAACGAAATAAAATCCATTGACATTATTGCTCTTTCAAATATTAAATTTGCGCGCTCGCGCTCACGCCCCGCGTACCCCACGCGACCGGCGCGCCACACCACGTCACGCTACGCCGCGGCCCCTGGGGGTCGCCCTGGACCACTTTGGGAATCACTGGTCTAAATGCACTGTTTCCATATGCTCAATTTCGGTGTCCCTTAGGGAAATTTTTGGAAAATGGGCGTGGCAGCACCCACTTATGCCTAAAGCTCTGAACACATGGAAAACGACGATCTACGGGCCACAGCTTCCAATTTGTTATCTTCATTATATAAACGCTTTGTCGATGGCGACATGATTTCTTTGAACGCGGCAGCGACATGATGAATTTGTATGAGTTTGACATAAAAGAAGAGGAAGAACCTTATCTGTCGCTGGAAAAATAAAAATATGTCTAATTTGGCCAAAATAATTATCTACATAAGAACACGTAGAAAATTAATTTGACAGCTGTGGTCCGTAGCTCGTCGTTTCATTGTGTTCGGGCTATTAAAGTGTATTTCGGTTAAGGGTTTATCAATTTCTACCGAACTCAGCACATTTGAAATAGTACTAAA